TCTACTCTACTCTACTCTACTCTACTCTACTCTACTCTACTCTACTCTACTCTACTCTATTCCTAGTGAGGTAAGCAAATGTTCTTACACTTCTGAGGAGACTTTACCATCTTTCAATTATTTTGTTGATTCTTTCACAATGAAGTTGAAATGCATTTATTATTTTTATGAGACCCTTATGAGACAACTGAAACTACCAAAAAAGAATCCACTTCCCCCTCCACATTTTTTCCATTGTTGAAGGGTACAGAGCTACCATAAGAAGCCAATTAGGCTAAGCCATAATTCAAAGGCTCCTGAAATGACCAAAGAATGCTATATCCTTGCACGCATTCAACAAATACACATACACACATTGCTTAAGAGCATATGGAACAGCCTTGGCTCCATTTACATTCTTTTCACTATATTCACTACTATATCTGATGCAGCTCATCACTCAGACTTCTCTGGAGAAATCCTTAAAACAAACATACACATGATTAAAATGGAAATGTTCGTTTTCCAAAAATGTTTGAAATATTTCGAAGTTTTAAAAAATGTGCTATTTCTTTCTTTCTGAAAGATGGGGAAAATGCTTTAGAAAGCAGCTGTTTGCTGTTATGTATTGTCCATCTCTGAATGTACACTGAGAGCATTTGCACCAAAGACAAATTCTTTGTGTGTCCAATCATACTTGGCCAATAAAGAATTCTATTCTACTCTATTCTATAAAAAAAAACAATAGAAAAACAAAATATGGCTGTTCGATTGTTATGTGCAGGCAACCAACTTTCTCCTTTTTTCTAAGAAGAAATTACAAGCAGTGTCCATCTTATGACTAGAGTTGAGCAAAACGGAAACATTTCTGTTGCTAAGTGAGAAATTTGTTAAGTGAGTTTTGTCCCGTTTTACAACTTTTCTTGCCCCCAGTTGTTAAGTGAATCAGTGCAGTTGGTAAAATTAGTTAACACAGCTGTTAAGTGAAGCTCTTTTCCTCATTTGTTTTCTAAAAGGTCGCAAATTTTGTGCAACTGTCACAAATGCCAGTGACATGCCAAACATCTGAATTTTGATCATGTGACCACGGGGATGCTGCAGTGGTCATAATTGTGAAAAATAGTCATAAGTCACTTTTTTCAGTGCTGTTGTAACTTTGAACGATCACTAAATGAACTGTTGTAAGTGGAGGACTACCTGTATATGCAGCAATGTAATGGCTATTACTTTGGACTGCTAATGCAACCCACCAATCCTGTGCTTTCTCACTCCTCCAAGCAGTTTTTTTAAAACGTACATAAAGAGAAAATCTAAAATTTAATGCTTAAATAACCTCTTCAAGGGAAAGTTAGGTGTTGGTAAGATGGCAAGTGAAGGATCAGGGAAGCTGTCCTTTCTCAAAAAGGACTTTCTATGATTTCACAAAATTAAATTAATGCAATTTCAAACATTCACAATTCAGGAGATTGTTAAAACTAGGCCATCTCTCAGAAGACATCATGAATGCTTGGCAATTTTTCACAATATTACAGGGTTTTCATACAAGATATTTTGGTCATGAGAAGTGGGGGCAGAATTTAGCAATTCTTCCCAATTTAGCAATAGCCCTTAGAATTATATACCATTTCATAATGCTTTACAGCCCTCTCCAAGCAGTTTATCCAGATTGCCTCCAACAATCTGGATCCCCGTTTTACTGACCTCAGAGGGATGGAAGGCTGAGTCAACCACAAACTGGTGAGACTCGAACTGCTGGCAGTTGTCAGAATTAGCCTGCAATGCCGCATTCTAACCAATGTATCACCATGGCTCTTTTGCATTCTGCATTTGAAATAGTTGCTAGAGTCCAGTTGTAAGTATTTATGATACAACCACATTTGGAAAGATCCATACAACTTTGCACTAACTCACATATTTACATTCTGTAATAACTGTAATCTCAGCAAAATCCTCTCCCAAATGAAGGCGAATATACATGTCCCAGGATAATGTTGCAGGATCCAATCTGGGTGGGTTACTGGGATCAGAGGTTTTGTCTCCCGAGTTTTTGGACTCATGCTTGAACCCATCCTCAGGGAACTCCTCTCTAGGAGAATGCGTACTCTAGGCTATTCTGTGTGTAGTATTTCTATGGTGCCTGGTTGTGTGTGGCTCATAGCTGGCCACTAATATCCCAATCAACAACTAAAAAGCCACACACAACCAGGCACTACCTGAATAGAATATGTGCTTTGGGCATAGAAGAGCCCAATGTACATATTCTGGTGAGAGAGAAATTCCCTGAGGATGGGCTCCAGGACAAATCCAAAAGCTTGGAAGACTAAACCTATGGTCTCAGTGAATCCTGAAAAATCCTCTCCTTTCCCTGAATAAAGGTAAAGATTCCCCTCACTCATGCGTGCAAATCGTTTCCGGCTCTAGGGGGCGGTGCTCATTTTCATTACAAAACTGAAGAGCCAGCGCTGTCCAAAGATGTCTCCATGGTCATGTGGCCGGCATGACTAAATGCTGAAGGCTCACGGAACACTGCTACTTTCCCACCAAAAGTGGTCCCTGTTTTTCTACTTATATTTTTTACGTGCTTTCGAACTGCTAGGTTAGCAGCAGCTGGGACAAGGAACACTCCATTACGCGGCGCTAGGGATTCAAACTGCCGAACTGCTGACCTTTCTGATTGACAGGCCCAGCATCTTAGCCACGGAGCCACCGCGTCCCTTTCTTTCTCTGAATGCAACATAATTATTTTTTACAGAGCTCTGAAAAAAACCACGCCACAATATATGATCCATGAGCAATACCTACAGGTCTACAGTAAGTTCAATCAGACTAAAACTTCTTACAGCTTTAGTAGGGTGGGACACACGGTTATATTTGCAACCCAATGAAATAAATCCCCACTGCTTTAGGCTGGTAATACATCCAAATGTCAACAACCAAAGATAACTCCTGTTCTGATTCACATCAGCAGGGGCTGTCAGAGAGAAAAGACACTCTTCAGCAAATCCAAGAAATAAGGTCAGCCAAACCATCTCTTGACAACATTGGACACAATCCCCTCTTGGGTTTCCAACTGTTTTCCACATTTTCCCGTATGTAAATATCCCCATGCGTGATATTGGGTTACAGCATGTTTAGAGTATAATGCAATGGGCCAAGAAAAAAAAATTCCCAGAAGACCTCATTTAAAACAGAAATGCTTTATTGAAGAACTGGAGGGTGTGGTAGCTTGGAGCAAAGGCTTACATATAAGGTTGGGGGTGGGGGGGAGGTCAGATTTTCTTCTCTCCCCAAAAAATGTCTTTCGAAATTCTCCTAGGTTCAGAATTGGCCATCAGGGAGGAAAGATTACTGTGGGAGAAAAATATATAAAAGCTTCTGGGGTTTTAAGAGTTGGTCTTCTTTTATACAGTTGCTAACTGTGGACCTGAGGAACTGTAGACTATGAAATGTATTGTGTTGCCTGCCCTAACATGGCCTATAGAAATTTGATATGGGTGTCCATTTCTTGACATAATTAACACTTGACTTTACTGTGTATTGATGGCTGCTCTGGATTAAAGATTCATAAGTATCTTGGCATGTAGGTATGGAATTCTGAATCACATTCTCTCATCTAATGATATACAATTAAAAACACAGAGATAAAGATATTGTGAGCACTGATTTCACGTAGGAAAGTCATATAGAATGTGATTCAAAACCCTGGAATTCTATAATGTTGAAGTTCCCTGAGGTCTATATAAGAAAAGCTTCTTTGTTCCAAGAGAGAATAAAAGAACAAAAGAAAGAAAGAGAAAGAGAGACAGAGAAAGAAAAAAGAAGGAAGGAAGGAAGGAAGGAAGGAAGGAAGGAAGGAAGGAAGAAGATGAGAAAGGAAGAAGGAGAGAGGGAGAGAAGGTAGGTAGGTAGGTAGGAACATTGGCCAAGAATCTCTTGTTATGAATGAGCTTCCATGCCTCTCTTGTTCACTTCTGGAAAGAACCCAAGAAAGCAAAGATATCCATATGGAAGGTTTTATATTCTGCTTTATCGATTTTACCTGCTGGGGGCCATGCCTTGATGTACCCAGTACAGTGAACCACAGCATATTGTGCCTCTCCTTCCTTCACTGGGCCCAGGCCGTTTCTAAATAGAAAGCAGAGAAAAATAAATAAATAACCATGTTTGTTTTTCAACCAAGACAATCCTTCAAATTCATTACCACTACTCTCTGAATCCTCTTTTCATAGTTCAATCAAAATGACTCCCTTTGAAACAGACATGTTTCCTGTTTGGCCCAAGGTTCAAACTCAGGCGCTCCCTTACGTCAATTAGAAGCCATGGAAAGAGACTATAGAAGAAACTGGGTGAGTCACATACAGTGTAATGGCACAATTTATTTAGTTTATTTCATGTGTAAGATAATTTGGAAGTCAGTGTTACTTTTAAAAAAATGCCAATAAATGGATGTCGTTTCTCAAATCTTGGAGCAGAACAAAACATTTGGGATATGAAATCTGCAAATGAATATATATGGAAAGAAGCAACTGAAAGGAACAATCGCCAAATTTGTTGCAGTGTTTATATTCCCCTCTCTCTAACACAATCTTCTTGGTCTTCTCTATTTGGGATATAGCTAAATATACACAAATATATATTTAACTGTCGCTTATAAAAACACACATACTTAAAACTCATATACACATATATTCACATGCATTCGTACAAATTCATGCAGGCAGTCACTAAGCAGAAATGTGCACAAACCACATGAATTTTGTGAAATTAAATTTCCCATGAAATATCATTATCATGAACAATGACAAATAACAAATCTTGTTTTGAGCACATTTTAAACCCTGCAATTTAAGAAAACAGATGCTCGTCTTCAACACTAAGAACAATTGTGGTTTAGTCCTAAGCTTTGGTAAAAGCACATTTGGCAACATTGGCAAAAGGGTTTGAGTGAGCATAGTATGGATCGTTCTATGCTCACCCAAACCCTTTTGCCAATGTTTTAATTTGATGGGTCTGTTCTAATTCAACTAGCCCACTGGCACATTTGCGGAATTCCTTAGAGTCCAAGTGTCAAATATGAATGCCTCCATCATAACTGTGAATGCTGATCTCAAGGCCCACAAGAATGTGAACTGATGCTTCTGAGATTTACCTTGTCAACCCAAGCGTTGCCTATTATAATAGGTCAACATTTTTCTAAGGTTTTGGATAATGAGGATAACTAAGGGTTATGCTAAAGAAGGAACAGAAAACACCAACCTGTATCTTTTCCTCATGGTTGTTATCCTGTTCAGAGGTAAATGATCCAATGGAGCATTTCCACATCTAGAAATGAAACAGCGTAAGACAGTTAGCAACCCTACTTGATTGCAGGGAACAAGCTACAACAATGAAGGTAGACAACTGCAGCCAGAAACCTTTGTAGCAGAAGGCTTTTAAAGATCATGGGTTGGTGTTTGCTTTGCTTTGTGTTTGCCTCGAAGTCACAAAGAACAACCTATTCTGCAAAACAACTGAGGGCAAGGTAAGAAATAATGGATGGAAACTTATCAAAGAGAGATCCAGCCTAGAGCTAAGAAGAAATAATCCAATTAATAGTGTCATCTTACAGATCTAACAGATAATCAGAGTTGGAAGGGACCTTGTAGGTCATCTAGTCCAACCCCCCTGCCCAAGCAGGAGACCCTACACCATTTCTGACAAATGGCAGTCCAATCTCCTCTTGAAGCTCTCAAGTGATGGTGCTCCCACAACTTCTGAAGGCAAGTGATGAAGCTCCCACAACTTCCAAGAGCAACTTCTGTTCCATGGGTTGATTGTTCTCACTGTCAGAAAATTTCTCCTTATTTCCAGGTTAAATCTCTCCTTGTTCAGTTTCCATCCATTATTCCTTGTCTGGCCTTCAGGTGCTTTAGAAAATAGCTTGACCCCTTCCTCTCTGGGGCAGCCCCTCAAATATTGGAAGATTGCTATCATGTCTCCCCTGGTCCTTCTCTTCACTAGATTAGCCAAGCCCAGTTCCTGTAACCATTCTTCAGATGCCTTAGTCTCCAGTTCCCCCATCTTAAAGGAAGTTTAAGTCTTTTTGTTGCTCTTTGTAGGCTGATACAGAAGTCATTTTGATGTAGCTTTAGGTAATCACTAGAGGGGTAATACTAGCGAAAGATAAAAACCCCAACCTTACAGAATACAGAATAACAGAATTGGAAAGAAAGTTAGACGTTAAAATAACAGAGTTGGAAGAGACCTCGGAGATCTTAAAATCCAACCCTTGCTTAGGCAGGAAACCTTAACCCCTGAGATATTGGAACACAGCTATCATGCCACCCCAAGTCCTTCTTTTCATTAAACTAGAGATATCCAGTTCCAGCAACTGTTCTTTATATGTTTTAGCCTCCAGTCCCCCAATCATCTTCGTTGGAACATCTAGTCCAATCTACTGCTCAGGCAGGAAACTCTATACCATTTCAGACAGTTTTCCAATCTCTTCTTAAAAACCTCTGGTGTTGGGACATCCACAACTTCTGGAGACAAGTTGTTCCACTGACTATTAATCCTCAGGTAGATAATTTTTTCTCCATTTGATGTAGGATACCATGGTTATATGGATAAATTCATGTGCATACCAAACTAAAAGAAGAAGAACATACCTAAGAACAAAATTTTAAAAGGCAGCTGTTCTGACCACGGAGGTCCCAATCTATAGTAGCACCACGAACATATTAGGCTAATTCATAATCGTAAAATAAAATGAAATTTCAATTACATAAGCTCTTCTTTGGACAAAATGGTAAACAAAGCAAACTAAGGAGAGTTGAAGATGGCTGATACTGAAACCATGTGTTCCACATTTTGTGACAGCTTTAAGGTGGTTAGAAGAATCCCAGATATTTATTTTAGACCAAAAAATGGTTAAACCATAAGCCACAGGCCTGAGACAAGCTTAATTATTGCCATATGATGGGATTTTTAAAAATAAAGTATTTAAAGACACCTAAAGTATTTCAAAATTGGAAAAATGAAGATCATCTCAAGAATTTCTCATGTGCCTAAAATTAGCTGGGTGATTACTTATTGTTTTCTTTCCCGTTATAAATAAAAATGTGGTGTGTTATGAAACAAAAATAAGGCCACATTTCCATTCCAATCTTAGGTCTCAGAAATAATAATTTGAATAATAATATAGTAAGATGACACAATGGATCACATTTCATGGTCAGTCTGATTGTGTTCCGGTAGACACAACCAAGGAAAGGATGTGAGCTACTGACTCATAAGTTTCAAAAAAAAAAAAAGATACAGATTTATGGATATTATTAATGAAAACAAGCACCACTTTCTGAAAATGGCTAGTTTGCAATTGGGATCATTCTTTTCTGACAGTGAATTTAAATAGTAACTATTCTCCAAAGCACCTGAAGGCAGGACAAATGGATAACCTATCAAGAAGAGAAACGACATAGAGCTAAGGAGAAATTTCCTAACAGTGAGAACAATTAATCACTTGCCTTCAGAAGTTGTTGGTGCTCCATTACTGGAGGTTTTAAAGAACAGATTAGGTCACCATTTGCCTTAAATGGTATGTTTCCTGCTCAAGCAGGGGATTGAAGACCTCTAAGGTCCCTTCCAATTCTGTTATTCAGTGATTCAGTAAAAACTGAACATGAGACCCGATACAGTAGATGTGAAGAAAGAGTGAGGTCCAGGCTAAAAATTGGATGAAGGTGGAAGGTGAAACCCACGGGGCTCCCTAGAATAACTTGGGAAGGAAATCAGTGGTGGTATTCAAGTAAAGCTGCCACTGGTTCGGTGGGCGTGGCTTGGTTACTGAGCTTTGCGTGCATGCACACACTTTGTGTGCATGCGTGCACCAAACACACACTTTGCGCAGGCACAGAGGCATTCTAACTTGCCTCCTGCAAGCCTGCATGATGGTGGTCACTGCAGCAGCTGCCACGCTGCTGCGCTGCGCAAAGCAGCTGCACTTTGAATTCTGGCCATAAAAGTGAATATGGGAGCCTGGACAGGCGGGTGGGCCAATCACAGAGCAGCGAAGAGAACCAGTTCAGTCTCCACTGTTCATCACTGCTAACGCCTCTCCAGAACCAGGCAGAACCAGTCGAATACCACCACTGAAGGAAATGTTCTGAAACAATACTGTCAATGCTTTGAATGAATGAATGAATGAATGAACGAACTTCTTCACAGTGAGGACAACTAAGCAGTAAAACAGCTTGCCATCAGAAGTTGTGGGTGCTTCATCGCTCTTGGTTTTTAAGAGGAGACTAAACAGTTGCTTGTCTGAAATGGTATAGGATCTCCTGCTTGAACAGGGGGTTGGACTAGAAGACCTCCTAGGTCCATTCCAGCTCTACAGCCCCCTCACATCTCGAACATAAACTGTTTCAACTCCTTCTCTCAAAACGACGCTATTAGAGTACTGCACACCAGAACAACGAGACACAAGGATGTTTTTTTCCCCGAACGCCATTACTCTGCTAAACAAATAATTCCCTCAACACTGTCCAACTATTTACTAAGTCTGCATTACTATTATTATTAATCTTCTCATCACTCCTTATCATCCATCTCTTCCCACTTGTTACTGTATGACTGTAACCTTGTTGCTTGTATCCTAACGATTTATATTGACTGTTTCCTAGTATGATTTGATTGCTTATTGTACCCTATGACTATGATTAAGTGTTGTGCCTTATGATTCTTTATGCTTGACAAGTGTATCTTTTCTTTTATGTACAGTGAGGGTATTTGCACCAAGACAAATTCCTTGTGTGTCCAACCACACTTGGCCAATAAAGAATTCTGTTCTGTTCTCTTCTCTTCTCTTCTCTATTCTGGATGAGTGAATGAATATCAGTGTGCTGCAGTGGTTAAGGTACTGAGCTAGGAGGAAAGTTCTAGTCTTCCCTTAATAATGAAAGCAGAAATAGCATACCTCATTCTGCATATGAAGGAACGCCTGGATCCCATGCACATTCTCATTGAAGACTGCTGACCCTCCTTCTTTACTGTGCCAGTTTTCAAATCCAAAATCCTCCCTACACAGCGGGAAGGGGAAGCGCAAACAAGAACAAAAAGGAGAAAAAGATGGGTCACCAAGAAGGCAATCTGACTCCGACAGCACAGTCTAAATTGAAATAATTTTACAGTGTTAGCAGGACAATATCTCATAAGCATGCTATAGTTCCATACTACGCTGGCAGAAAGGATGAAAGAAAAAGCAGAATGGACCAATCAAGCAATTACAGTATCTTCACCAAGCCTGTGATTCACACCTTTCACATTAGCTTGTTTGCTGCACATCTGAACTCACACTGAAATGTACTAACAGCCTCTGTACTGTACTACAGTGGCCTGGCTATAGCTCCACACCCATTAGAAGCTCAGCAGTTGAATCAGGCATAAAAATGTGTGAGTGCGTTACACAAATTCTAAGCAGAAGTCAGAGTTTCTGCCACTGAGATTCTTAGGACAATGATACCAATTTTTGTAGCGGCTATAGATTAAACCCGGTCAATTTCTATGCAATCATAATGATGTTTTGGTTTATTTATTAGAAAAAATAATATATCCCATTTTTCAAACCTCTTTGAAAGCAGGGTCCAACTGGATTTTGTCAAATTCTAATTCCTATCAGCCACAATGAAAAGAGAGGATTAAGTTTGCAGAATTAGAAAGCCGTACTTTGCCAACTGTTGATTTAAGCCAATATATCAGCCCAAGAGGCTCAAATAATTGTACTGCGGCAAGTAAAACCACATTTAAACTAATAGAAGCTGAGAAGATTGATTAGAATGGAAGGATTTACAATCTATCGCAGCCATAAAATATACTGTGTATAGGAGAAACAAAGCATCCAATGAAAGCAAGAATACATTCTGAGAATTTGAACCCTGCTGCAACAAGACAATGAATTACAAACCTCGGTCATAAATCATCTAGTAAAGAAGGAAAAATCCCCATGCTTGATGCTCACAATTAAGTCACATACTGGAAAACTTATGGAGTTCTTTCTTCCTTCACTCCCAGTGCTGAGACAGTTATAAAAATCATAATTTGTTCCATGTGATGCTTTTTCTGGTCTGGGACACCTTAATGAAGAAATCTGCCCACACTCGTATTTTTGACTCCTTACATCTTCACTTAGGAATGCAGTCGAAGATGTTTGAAAGTTGACCAGCAGACGCCAGTTCTCCTCCCAGTTCTCTTACAATCCCAGTGACCTTCTTTTCAGAGATGACTGAGAAAGTGGGACAAAAGAAGTATGACCTAACCTCCAATCATTTGGGGGTACCCATTGCGGTGTTTGTTATGTGCAAGATGCAGATTTTTATGGCATAGCAAATCAAACTGATAATCACTCAAACCAACAGACTACTGGAAATCCCTAAATTCTCAAGATTAAGTAATGCATACAAAAGTGTAAAGGAAAGTATGTCTTTCCCCTTATTTTTTCCAGTAATTGTTCGTTTTCCCCAAGTTTTCACCCTACCACAATCTGGCTTATTCAAATAAAAAGAAAGAAAGAAATGAAGAAAACAAGGCCATAACTTGAACTTTGTCACCTCCACACAGCTTATTGCTTCCTGTAACAAAAATAAAGGCTTCTTTATTCATCATTGCCCCATAACTTTCCCCACAAAATGAGAAAACCAGGACCAAAATTCACTGCCCATTTTTTCATTTTCTCTCCCTCTCTTTTGCAATTCCCACTAAAGCAGTTGGTTCTGCCTCAATTCAAAACTGCCCCTTTCTTTCTTTCGCAGATCCTCAGATTCTTATACTACAGCTATTCCAAGACTTACAACCACAATTGAGCTCAAAATTTATGCTGCTAAGTGGGAAATTTGTTAAGTGAGCTTTGCCCCATTTTGCAACTTTTCCTGCCACATTGAACCAAAATCCCATACAACAACACCACCTTCAGAAAATCATCATGTTGAAAAAGCACTGCGCAATCTAAAACCATCTCTATCTATTGGACCAGACAGAATATGTGACTACTTCTTTAAAAAGCTATCCACTGCCATATCCGAACCTCTAAGCATAATCTTTGAAAAATCTTTCAGGACCAGCTCCTTGCCTAACCTATGGTCACAAGCCACAGTCATCCCCATCTTCAAAAAGGGAGACCCCAGCCCAGTTGAAAATTACAGACCGATCTCCTTATGCTGCGTCACCTGTAAAGTCATGGAATCAATTATTAACCAATCCATTATCCTCCACTTAGAGACAAATAACCTACTCTCCAATAAACAATTTGGTTTCAGAAAAAAACTATCCTGTAATCTGCAACACTTACACTGCAAAAACATATGGACTACACAACTCGATCAGGGCAAAACAATAGACGCAATCTACATAGACTTCTGTAAAGCCTTTGATTCATTGGCACACAACAAAACTACTCCTAAAACTACAATCTTATGGTATCTCTGGACAACTGCATAACTGGATAGAAGCATTCCTGTCAAATAGACAACAAATGATCAAAATTGGGAGTGTCCTATCAAATTCTGTACCTGTCAATAGTGGTGTCCCCCAAGGCAGTGTTTTAGGACCAACTCTCTTCATACTCTACATAAGTGACCTCTGTGATCATATTAAGAGCTACTGCATTCTCTTCGCTGATGATGTAAAGCTGTTCAATACCACAGACAATACTGCTACTCCTCAAAAAGATCTTGACTATGTATCAGAATGGTCAAACAAATGGCAACTTCAAATCTCAACAAATAAATGCTCTGCCTTACATATTGGCAAAAAATAATCAGAAAATAAAATACAAGCTGAATTGTCAAGATCTTGTTGATGATTCAAGCTCTGTAAAGGACCTTGGAATACTCATCTCCAATGATCTAAGTGCTAGAGCCCACTGTAACTACATAGCCAAAAAGGCATTAAGAGTTGTTAAGCTAATCCTACGTAGTTTTTTCTCTGATAATATCACACTACTAACTAGAGCATACAAAACATTTGCTAGACCAATACTCGAATACAGCTCATCAGTCTGGAACCCACATTATGTATCTGATATTAGCACAGTTGAGAAAGTCCGGAAATATTTCACAAGAAGAGTTCTCCACTCCTCTACTCATTGTAGAATACCTTATGCCACCAGACTTGAAATTCTAGATCTAGAAAACCTTGAATTATGCCATCTTCGGTCTGATCTAAGTATGGTATATAAAATCATACATTGCAATGTCCTATCTGTCAATGAATACTTCAGCTTCAACCATAACAACACAAGAGCACGCAATAGATACAAACTCAAGGTTAACCGCACCAAACTTGATTGCAGGAAATATGACTTCAGCAACAGAGTGGTCAATGTCTGGAATACTCTACCTGACTCTGTGGTTTCTTCCTCAAACCCCAAAAACTTTAATCTTAGACTGTCTATTATTGACCTCACCTCTTTCCTAAGAGGTCTGTAGGGGGTGTGCATAAGCACACCAACGTGCCTACCGTCCCTGTCCTATTGTTTCTTTTATTTTTCGTATATGTACCCATTTCATGTATTCGTAACTATGTATATACTTATACCTATTATCTTGTAAGCAATTGACAAATCAAATCAAATCAAAAAATCAACCAATCAATCAATCAATAAAATCCAAAGCATTTTCTGGTAATCATCATCTTCTTTTAATGACCCCATAATCCCTTGTGGGGGCGGAATCTGGGGAACTGAATGGAGCTAGCAGAGTGTTTACTGGCCGGATGCCCTTTCTGTCACCAATGTGGAGTTTCATTCAGCAGATATATTCTCATTGTGCCCAGAGAGAGAACTGCCTCTACCTAGGATCGAACTCACAGCCTCCTGATTGTGAGGCGAGAACTCCACTTCTAGGCCACCACACTACTCCCCAAGCATTTTCTAGCAATGTTGGACTGAAAATGTGTCAAAGGCTAGAAATCAACTGCCCATGTTGTCCGAATTAAATTAGAAGAACTAATAACCAGCAGGACAATAGCTTGGTAGGAAGCAAATGCATAGATCTGGCAGGGACAAATGGATGAAGTACTCCAGAATTAGGTTGCACAAATATCTCCCTCTAGAAGAAGAAAAAAAGGAACACTTTTACCTAGATTTTTCCAAATTTTGCAACAAATACTCTGCCCTGGTTCACACAAACCCGTGCATTTTGTTTCAAATGATGCATCGGCCAACCAACCTGACTTCACAATCTCTGCCATCCAGGCTCTTATGCAACGTGTTCCACAAACTATAGCAAAAGCATCCTACATTTCAGCAATATGTGAATGCAGTTCAGTGCAAGTCTACCTCTCAAACTAAGGTCCATGCATCCATGTTTTTGCTGCATCTTTTTTCGGTTGGGGGAAACAATACCCCCAAGCTGAGCAGCTACAGAAAACTTGCACAAACCAAGCCATAGTCTCACAAAGACAGAGGTAAATCTTAATATCCTTAAATGCCCCTGTGCACTCATTCTTATGCTCCCTGCTGTTGCCTTATACAAGAGAAATTCAGTTTGACTTGGATAAGATAATAACAACAAACACCCCCCACCCCCCCACCCCAAAAAAGAGATTCTACTCCAAGAAAAATATTCCACAGGCTATTTGGGAAAAACAACAGAAAACAGGAATTAAAAAACAACAATGGAAGTATCTTGGTAGACTCTAAACTATTTCTCCTTTGTTTTAATATAGAGAAATGAGAAATCTACAAGGTAATGGTACAGAAAAGCAAATGATGAACAGCCTAATCAAAAACATAAGCAATTAAACTATCCGATGTTGTTTTAATCACAATAAATTGGAACATGGTTCCAAACTCTCTGCAAATGAGGCTTACTAATACATGCCTGTTTTTGTGACTAATATTCTGGTAACCTTCAAAAACAACTCGCTGTTAGGATTGCATAAAAGCATGGCAGAGAGAGGCCATCAACCACAAATGATGATCAAGGTTTTCTCCAATTATGAAACTAATACTGTTCCTGAAAGTTTTCCTCCCGCTATGAATGAGATTGTTTTTCTCAGGCTGCTTGAAAATTACTAGAATTTC